CACACAGACTGACACACACACACAGACTGACACACACACACAGACTGACACACACACAGACTGACACACACACACAGACTGACACACGCACACGTGTATTTATAACCTTTTGGAGACATCTCACTAACCCTAACCATCAAAAATGGACGCCTAACCCTGACCCTGACTCTAAACCTAACCATAACCTAAAAAATGCCTTCAAACTCGTGAGGACCGGCACAAATGTCCTCATAAGCAGGGGTGGGTTTTGATTATCGACGTATCGATTAAAATCGATTCTGGCTTGGATAACGTGATATCGATTCATTAAAATCCTGAACGGATTTTAAAATATAAATTCATTTTGCCCCGAAACTCCAGAACCTCAAGTTAAACCTCACAAAATTTCTACAACCACCAAACAGCTAAAACAGTAAATGAGAGCAGGAACACGGATTCTGCACAAAGACGTAAACACAAAACCCAACGCACGTACGCGGACACGCCGTCGGGGCTGAAAGCCGACAGCTCACTGATCTTGAAGCGTCGGCAGCCGCTTTGTGTTTACGTCTTTTTTGCGCTCGATTCTGAAGCTGCAGGTTTGATCTCTCTCCAAACAGTATTGACTGAACCAGCAGCAGAAGACCCTTCCAAACTACGCTTCACATTTCGCTTCACATAAACATCGTCACGAATTTCTTCTTACCTTTGCTGTTTTGCTTCCACCACGATAAAATCACACTTGGTGTAGAGCTCTCTCTCTCTAAATCGATAATCAAAACCCACCCCTACTTATTACCCACCAGTCTACGGTGTTTTTTTAGTGTCTTTTTTTTTTTTACTTCCGACAGAAAAGCCTAATTTCTGCTGTTCAATACTGAACAAATTTAAACTTTTTGAAATTATGCAAAAGTGCAAAATGCTGTGTCTCTAATCAAACCTCTGTAACTTTGCTCTGCTTCACTTAGTTTTTGACAGCACAATATTTTTAAGGTCATCTGCTATAAAAACCCAGACCAGGAAAACCGCCTTCATGTTTTTCTGTGTTATCCTCAGTTACTTTGACACAAAGGCCTCTGCTGTGATGCTCACACCTCTGATAAAATCTCACGTGTCAGGTTTCTTTTAATAGATATAAAAATATCGATATGTACTGATAAGTGATCAGAATTATATTTCTGACTCTGAGGCAAAATTTCTCCGATTCAAATCGAATTGAATTGGAGATCAAATCAATTCTAGAAATCAGTGACGATACCCAGCCCTACTCATAAGTGACTCTTGGTCCCCACAAGTATAGTAAACTACCAATTTTTGGTCCCCATGAGGATGTTAATACCCGTCCACACACTCCCACACACACACAGACACCCCCCCCACACTCCCTCGTGCTGCCCTCCTTTCCTCTCCCTCTGATCTCCTTGCAGAGGGCCTTGGGGGGTTAATTAACAGGCTGAGATAATGCCACACTAATGAAAACAAGAACACCGTCTCTCTCCTCTTTTCTGTTCCTCCCTCATTATTACTCTGCGTCTCTTTAGCCTTAAATTTCCCACTCTTGAAGGATTTTGTCGACACAAAAGAAGGAATAAACAGACAGATGGGAACATGTGAGAGACAGAAGGTGACGCAAACTAAACACAAACAGGGTCCCCACAAATTAAAGAGGACCCGTTCCCTCCTCATTTCCTGTTACATGACTGTTCCTAATAATGAGTTCCGTGTGTGTGCACAAGCTCAGGCTGTTTATCGTAGTTTTTTCTACCCAGGGATCCGTGGGATGTCACAGAGAGATGGTAGAAGCCCCACCCACCTGCTCTTCAAACCTTATCAGATTCTCTTTTTGAGACCTGAATGATTTCTGTAAATGATGTTTTACAGCTGAAGATTCTTAAACAGGAATGTCGAAGAGGAGGAGGGGGGGACTAGTTGTTGCTGAAAATATAAAAAGGTAAACTGTGTTTGTGTTCTAGAAAAATCACCTTCATCTGAGGGCACAGGATCCGATAATGATCAGCGATCAGAAGCATTCACACAAGTGCAGCTGAAGTAGGTGCAAGTTTCATTATGTGACTCTTAGGAAGAACTCATTTCTCTATTTAGTTCACCTGATTCATGGTGTGATTTGAGCTCAGTGTGGGAGTCTCACAGTGTGTGTGTCCTCACGAATCTGTCAATCGGGTGACACGTCAATGCATTAGCAGCTGATGAGAGAAACAAACACAAAACATCCCAGCACTGAGTCCGCTTGTTATTTCTGACGTCATTAACCCAGGTCTTTGCATCCAACGTTTGACTTCCAGGAAACCAGGAAAAGACAATGTAGCTGAATGTAGTAGGACGTTAGCTCTAAAGATGACAAACCTGTGACTGAAGGATTTCCAACACAATAAAAACGGACGGCTCTGCTAGAAACAAAGACATTTAACTGAACAGCACCAATGTTTGGAGGGTTGGTGAGCTCGATCACTCACGTACATCGGACCCAGGTTTTAGAGTCGAAAATGGAACCCAACATCCGACTGGTGATGACCGAACCCTCAGATCAGACACACAGACCTGTGGCTGCAGAGACACAGAGCCCAGGACGTGGATTAATAACGGCATCTGTGGGTCTGCACGCTAGCTGAGCATGCAGACTGTTGAATGCCAGTGTGTGCGAGTATGTGCACCATGTTCATACCTCTTTTTGGGGACCAACAGCCCGTCCCCACAAGTTTGAAGGCGTGTTTGAGACTAAAAATGTGGTTTTGGTGTCAGCGTCACATTAAGGTCATGGTTAAGGAAAGCATCGTGTCCATCAGATGTCCTCACTAAGTCAGGAAAACAAGTATTCGTGTGTGTGTGTGTGTGTGCAGGGAGAGCAGCCTCTGTTTAATTTTTAAACTATCTGGTGTGTGTGTGTGTGTGTGTGTGTCATTGTGCAGAAGTCAATTTCAATCTGGACACTAACTTAAGTTTCTACATCCAAACTTTCCCAGTTCAGCCCTCTCTCTCTCCCCGCAGATAAACCGGCTCGATCTGTTTTTATTTCAAGTCCACGAGGACTAACGGTAAATAAGCGGGGAGACGGGAGAAAAGGGTTGAGTTGTTTGGGGGCATATTTCGCTCTCCCTAAGTGTAAAATGGGATGAGATACTCTGCCTCTCGGACTTAACGTAATGTAAGAGAGTGTGAAATTAAACCGCACATGAATAAAGGGGGCCTTCATTGTGTGCCGCCGACGAGCTTATCTGGAAATTCAGACAACTGGAACATCCAAAGCCTCCAAACTTGTAGCAATCCCCTTTGTCTGGCTCTGAAGCAAACAATGTAATATCAGAAAGCCGGCGAGCCTCCAAAACCTGCGTCAGATTGCCAAACACAAAGTCTCGCACTGGCTCGTTGTGTCCTCACATAGAGCCTGTGTGTGCGCGAGTCTACGTGGAGTGGAGTGTGTGCTTCAAATAGATGGTTTCCTTTTAATCCCGGCCTTTTACCTATTGATATTCCCTGCACCTATCCCGGCGCCTCTTTTAAACCCCATATGTTAATTTGATTTAGAGCAACTCAAATTGAATAAGAGATAAAGAAAAAAAGAAAACGAGAGTAACAGCAAATGTACCGTTATTAATATTCTAAAGTGCTGCAGAGGCTCCACGTCTCTCCCGTCTTCCTCCCCCTCCCTCTCCGTCTGTGAGTGAGTGAGCTAAGTGAAGTGGGTTATGATGGCGGTGTAATCGGCATCCCTCAAACAAACGGCCGCTGCTATTAAGGGCCATTGTGTTTGCTGCAGTGATGATCAGATTCAATCTTGGGAGAACATTTTGTGCTGGGCTGGTGTGAGGAGGGGAGATGGAGAAAAATCCTTTGCCGTGTTCGCCTTGCTATTGTGTTCGGGCTGCCAGACGTAAGCGGCCTCTTCCGAAGATGCATATCGACTTGAGGAGCTGCAAAAGTTTACTTCAGATGAATTTGTGGGAGCTCGCCGACTGTGTTGGGTAATGTTTTAAGGGCAGATTTGTTTCAATAAGGAGGTGCTGGTGGGGTGGTGTGAATGTGAAAATCACTTTTCTTGTCTTTGTCTACAGCCCTGCCCCCTCCCTCCAAACCTCAGACTTTTAATACAGTCTGAACTTTCGACGTCCACAGGGCACCGAAGACGCAGTCGAAATTTTGGTCCTCACAAAGACGTATAAGTGCGCGCACGCACACACAGTGTTTGCTATCTAACATCCACACTCACACAGATGCATCACAGACAATCTCGGGGTTGTGTATCTCACCCAAGGATGCTTTGGCATGCAGACTGGAGCAGCCAGGAATCAAACCAACACACCTTCAGATTAGCAGATTCTCGACCTCCTGAGCTACAGGCCCCGCCCACAGGCTGACTGACCCCAGACTGTGGATGGGGTCGGTCTTACAATGACTTCCTGTTTGAGATTAAAGAGTTTCTGGTGTTTGTTGTCGTTGCAGGCCGCAGACCGTTCAGGTGCAGTTACTGCCCCTACAGCGCCTCGCAGAAGGGCAACCTGAAGACTCACGTGCTATGCGTGCACCGCATGCCCTTTGACAACAGCCGCTACCCCGACAGACGCTTCAAACGTTCCCGCCCTGACCGTGACGCCCCGGAGAACAGCTCTGATGATGTCACATCGAACAACTCTATGACGGGAGTGGACCGTGTGACACATGAGCGGGAGTGACGGCGCTCTACAGACAGACCGGTCTGCACAAAGTAACCGTGTGTGTTATTAGACGCCTGTGAACACTTACTAGGAAAACACGATTAATCAGCAGTGAACACACTTCCTGTAAAAACCCAGAGCAGAACGCAACACGCCGACCGATAATGGGGATGATGGCGTGTGCGTGGGGGGGGCATTGGTACCAACCTGACTGCTGCTGTCATCGCAGAGGAAATAATTCAGAGGTAACCGGACGCTGGACGCTACGCCGAGGGATCCCATCAGCTGACCTGAGCCCCTCCCACACACACACTTCTCCATCCTTCCCTTCACTCTCCCTCAAACACAACACAAATCAATCAGCGGCTTATTTACAGCATCCATTAGCCAACATCAAGGCTGGAGGTCACCTTACCACACCAGCGAAGGACCAAGACTCATGACAGTTTCAGTTTTGGACTCTGATCAGTGCTGGGGGTCTGAGATAATGGTTATGTCTCTGATTAGGATTGTTCTCCAAGCCGTCACTCTGTTTGAACGGGTCTCACTGTGTCTCTGGATATGAGTCCTTAGAGGGGAAAGCTGACGTCGTGAAGTCAAACGTCATTCTTTCATTTTTTTACGAGTAAAACAGGAAATGAGCCTTTGTTGTTCTTCACTGTGCCGGCAGCTGTCGGTGACTGTCGGCCGAGGAGGAGAAGGAAAGCGTGGCGCTCGCTGTCATGGCAGCGGCTTTGGGTTCGTAATGTTTTTCTGATAAAGAGAAATGATCGGGACTTTTACACAATCAGTATCTCCCAAACACACACACAGGAGGACTCAACCCCAGGGTCCTAGTGCCCATGGTGTTTACACTACACACACACACACACACACACACACACACACACACACACACACACACACACACACACACACACACACACACAGGACATTACATTCATTCAAACTCAGTCACATGACTCCCAAAACGAGCTTTGAGGGAAAAGGAACTGAAGCGTTCGCTGATCTTATTGTGCTGATCACAAAGTGCGGCGCCAAGTTGTGCCAAGTTGTGCCTCGCCGCGGCACCTTTGAAGGTCATTGCTCTCCGTTTGCAGTTCTCAGTTTTCACAGTGTCATTTCCACCCGGCGAGGAATTTGTGAGTCTTCGCAGTCACGTCGGCGTCATCTGTGCTGCGAAGGGTTTTTATCACAGCACCATACAAGTTTCACGCTTATGACTGCGAGCACGTTTCCCTCACAGCCAGTGGTTGCTCACTGGTCTGTAGGCCCGACCATAAACCGATTCATGTTACAGGTGATCTGTGTCGCCAGGAATGAAGATAGGTTTACAGTGTGGCACACACATGCAGACACACAGTGTGTGTGATGAAGCAGGAGAGAGAAAAAGGATGTGACAGAAGTTGAACACTGATGTGATGCAGGTGTAACTCGAGCAGGACGTCAGCCGTCACTGCCCTCCAACTGAGAGCCACGTAACGTTCCCGTGATGTAGTCTGAGCTTTAGGTTTCCGTACATTACTCTGTCCTTGGTGGCTGCAGCTTTGTACACGTGTATGTGCTAAACATTTATATCTATACACATTTATATTAACATAAAGTCAGCAGGGGAAAAGAAGTTTGTAAAGAGTTCACATTCCAGTTTCTGGCTGGAGTTCTCGGGCTTTTTGCGAATCGGAACATTTTCATCATGTTCAGATGAGGCAATCATTTCTGGTTTCAGACACTGGAAAATGCCATTTGTTGTCATCCCTCTGTGACTTATACTCTTTGTCCACGCCTGAGAAAGATACGCCATTTTCCCCTCAGCTGTAATCCTAAAATAATCCATTCCATTGTCCCCGTGCTGTTTCATCTCTGTCAAGCTTCTTATTTAAGTAGCACATGCAGTTTTGCTCACTTATAATCGCCGGTGCTAGAGGAGAAAAAAGATGAACCCATTATATCCCCCGCAGCTCTGTAGTGTCCACGTTCCTGAAGGAAGAAGAGCTCTTTAGCCCAGAGGAGGCGATGTGAGGAGAAGGGGTTTGTTGCAAACTATGAGCTTATACTCACAGTAGATACGTCTGCATTTAAGAAACAGATATTTATTCTTGCACATCTGTCAGAGAGAAGATGAAACTCATTAAAGAGGTGTATCAAACATTTGTCTGTTTACTCTTCCTGCGTTCTAGATGTTCTGATGTACTTTGAAGCCATGAGATTTATCTGATGTTTTTTTTGCAATAAAACCTCTACCTCTGGGAATCACGTCCTCTCAGTTTGGATCCCTTCCCTTCAGATCAATCACACCGCTAAAGGAGATGAAGAAGCGTTCCGACTGTGGAATGACTGCACACACCTGAAGCGCTCGAATGCTTCGCTCAAATCAAAGCGACGAGTCTTAAAATGGACCCTAAGAAGCAGAAATATGACCTGAGAATGCCGTTTGCTTGTAAGTGCTGGCTCTTATTGACTCACTCATTACATGTGAAATCACAGGAGCAGTACAAATAAAGGCTTTAATGTCCCAACAGGGACGCATGTAGGAAACCCAGGGGAACCAAAAATAGCTGGGAGAGGTGGTGCAGAGAACACTAAAAGCCAGTCTACGACCCCGAAAGCATCTCTTTGAGGCTATACTGAGGCACACTGATGCTTTTCCTTCAGGCAAAGTTTACCACCTTGTGTTCATGACTAAAGTCAAAACACAAACGAAGATGGAAACGCTTGGTGGGATTGGCTGATAAACTAGAAATCCTGACGTAGTGGTACTGTTGCAGGCTCACACAGGTCCAGCAGGGTTAGGCCAGGGTGTAGCAAAGACAGTCTGAAATTTGGTTGGTGCAACCACGGTCACCTCCATTGACTGATTATAACAAAGCCCCGTCAAGACCAGCTTCAGGTCAGCGTGGAGAGCTCAGTGTAGGCCCCTCCATGTCTATCAAATTCAGTTCAGTTTATTTTTATTTATATAAAAGCCTGAAGGCGCCTTATGTTGAAAGGAAATCCCAACAATCAGACAGACCCTCAATGAATAAGCATTTGGCGACAGCGGGAAGAAAAACCTCTCTGTAAGAAACCATCAGGAGAACCAAGCTCAGGGAGGGGGCAGACTTCTGCTGCAACCGGCTAGAGGGGTACGCTTTGGGCCGTTATGTTAAAGAGGGAACACACATGCTGCTGTGGAGGCGGCCCGTGCTGGGGAATAGCCACACGACGCACGTGGAGTGTGGAGTTTTGAGGGAAAATGAACCGAAGGGTTTACTGATGTTATCGTGCCGACCGCAGACAGTCCTGCGTTTATGCTTCTGCATCATAAAATCCAGAAACATAAATAAATGTAATTAAATAAAAAAATCGTTTTTCATGAAAACTACAACAACTCCAGCAAACATTCAAGTGCATGAGGCCTTTAAAATGTGCTGCGCCGTTATTTAACAGTGCAGTAGATGCTGTTGTAGGTTAACCCCTACAACAGCTCCCTGATGTTATAGGGGTTAACCACCGGTTCTAAAGTGAAAGCTGCCAGGAAACGTCAGAGAACCAATGCGGTAACACCTCACCGAAAAGCCCCCGCCCACTGTCGTGTGGGTAAAAACATGTAGGAAAAGTGAAGCGGCTGCATCAAATTCACCATCAGGGCTTCTCATTGATTAAATGTTAGCCACCAGATGAAAGTCCCTGTCCTCCTAACACCAAATTAAGAAAGAAGCACTGATTTCTGTCAAATACATCTGAAGTGTGCTGAAGCAGACCAAACCCAGCAAACATGCCCGTGTGGACCCACAGCAGGTGGCCGTGTATGCCCACACAGCTGACTGCAGTTTTGCCCTTTTGGAAATTCCAGCAGGGATTTCTGTGGGCAAAGCATTCATTGTCCCGTGTGGGTTAGCCCTGCAGATCTCCTATCAGTTTTCTGGGGTGTCCCTACATTAGCCCCAAAGCGGCATGTTTGCTAGAAAATGCTGGGAAAACCAGTCAGCGCAGCAACATTTCGAACCCTGAAGCCGCGCTGCTATTGGTTGACTGGAAAAACATCTATTTCAGCGCACCTTGGCCGACCGGCATTCAGCTGTCTCTCCAGAGTCCCACCACAGCCTCAGACTGCTGCTACTGCTACTTCCTGTTCTTAGTCCAGTAGCGCTGTTTACACCGAGCTCATCGCGGCTGGGGATAACCCGGCTTCTCCCAAGAGTCTTTGATCTGTTGAGCCCAGGTTTGTTTCTTTGGCCTCACAGACTGGCAGCTGTAACTGAGAGCTATAAAAATTTAAAAAATCAACGTGTCAAACATTTGGCTGATGCAAAGTCAGAAGAGACGTAAAAATACCTGCAATGAAAGTACAAAAAAAAGGGGGAAAGCCACGCAGCAGCTGAATTTGAAATGTTGTCCCCAGGATGAGTGCTTTTTACTGTTAATGGAGAAATAGAGTGCGTGGCATATTTAATGGGTTTTGTTTTTATTGTACAGCACTGAATAATTAACTGGGAAGCAGCATGTCACATAGATTTATCTTTTAATTAAAATAACGTGGTTCACGCATATTTGAGTGGTAGTCCAAATAAATGCAATATCCAAATTTATGTTTTGTTTATCTTCCTGTTAATTATGCGGAGATTGTTCACTGTACAGCCCTTCATATCCCCCCTCCCTCTCCCCCTGTCTCCGAGTAATAACCAGTCAGGTTTTATTAATTTATGGATAATTGTGGCTACACGAGTAAGGTGCATGGCATCAAACTGGCTTATTCTTATAAAGTGAGATGAATGTGTGGGGGTGGCTGATGCCTCCACAAGACAACAATAAAGAGAAGAACATTTTTCCATCCTCGTCTTCAGGATTACGCTAATTTCTAATATCCGTTTTCTCATTAGAGCCGAGACAAGAGCAAACAAGGACCGCCTCCTCAGACGCCACTTCATGCAGTGAAATCATCCCAGCAGAGGACACCCAGTCCCAGCGTGGCTCTCGGTGGTCTGTCTAAAGGAAGGAGTTTTGTCAGCGAGTCCATGAAACCTTCAACTGGTGGCAAAAAGCATCACTTTCTCTGTGGTCCACATGGTGTTATTTTCCTTATTTCCTGGCATTTATCTTAGTATATATATTAATAAATATTTACGTCTCACATATGAAATTTGGCAACAACAACAACAAAAAAAAAAAAGTACAAAAACCTTCAGAGTTCATGAACCAACATCAACACGTGAGACACACCTTAATACTAACAGCATGTCTCAGATCGACATCATTACAAAGCTTACTACGATGCACATCTGTTCCCGCCTTAATCAGCCTGGATGGAACTTCCAGGGTGATCCTTACAGTTCATATCTATTATATTTGGTAGCTGACCTCAAAACTAACAGTGACATTACATGAACATGGCCACCCCTATTTTTAGTGCAGTAGAACTGGAATGTGATGCCATGCACATCTGTAAGCAGGTGATGCTAACATTGCTTGTAATCGATTACTTTGTGTTACATGATGGATATGTAGCCTGCAAAGAAGGATAATAAACTTATTTTTTGGTGTTTACGGACAGAGGTTTAAGTCATCTGTCCATAAACAGAGATAACAACATTAACAGACATGTCTGTGTTTTCAAACATGAGCTGACAGGGCAACAATAATAGTAATAATAATAATAATAATAATTATAATAATAATAATTTACTTTCTTTTGTCTCTCAGACAAAAATACGGAGAAGAGGATAACTTTGTCACAGCTGACCTGTGTCTTTGTTTTTGATCCTCGAGTCTCTCCGTCTGAGGAAACCTGCCACTCTGCTCCAGGCACAAACCAAACTCTAGTTTCTCACATGACCAGGAGGCCTCTGAGGGCAGCCTTTGCATCCATGTTCACTGGTGACGTTCAAATAAAATGAATGTAGGTGACCAGAGGACACCTGAAGTTTAATATTCTAAGGAAATGCTGAACACACGATCAGCCTGTTTACCTCCTGCTATGCATGTGACGTGATAAATGTGCAGCATACGACCACACTGGCAGTAATAAGCTAAAAATAACACAGCAAAAAGCTTTAGGCTGCATACAGCATGCCAGTAATTAAAGTCACTGATGATAAAAAACAGGCAGCACAATTTCTGTCACATCGAACTGACGCAAAGATTCACCTGCAGAAGCTGTGAAAGCTCACCTGTCATTAAGAAATGCTTAAACAGTGAGACGTTTAAAATACATCACAGAGGGACCCGGGCACAGAGTGAAGAAACTCAACTCAAACGGCTTTGTCTGACCTCCGTGCAGACAGCAGCACGTGCCAGCGGACAGCTGACGCTTTCAGTTTTTCTGGTTACCGTAGCAGTGCAGGTAGAGAAGATGATGAGATGTTCTGCAGGAGGTCTTTCCCGTGCTGACGCCACAGCTGGACTGAACACAACTGTAGCTCTACTTCCTGTGCGACTCACACTCCTGAATGAAACCAGCGCTCTACCAGACGGATGATGCTGCCTTTGGGCATCTGTGCACAGAACAGCTGAACCCGCCTGTTCATGGCCAACAGCATCTTAAATATATGTATAGCCTCAGTTATTTTATCATTTCCATAAAAAAATGCTATTCGTACCAAATTTATCAGACGTGGGACCTAAACATCTAAACCCAACCACTTGCTGCTGCTGCGCTTTCTGCCACCATGACTGGACCAACATGTGGAGTCACATTTTCTCAGCTTGTTTTATTCTTTAAATAATAAATTAATAAAATGTTAGTTATATAGCACCTTTCTAGACAGAATCACAAAGTGCTGCACATAAGATAACAAATAATAAAAGGGTAAAACAGACAATATAAAACAGGCAGAAATTAGAGTTTCACCCATCGTGGCCAATTTGTACATGGAAGAAGTGGAAAAGAGGGCTTTGCTATCCTACCCTGGAACACCACCAAGCCATTGGTTCAGGTATGTGGATGACACCTGGGTGAAACTCAAATCTCAGGACGTACCACATTTCACGGATTACATTAACTCGGTGGACCAACACATCAAATTCACCAGGGAGGATATGAACAGTGGCAGGTTAGCCTTCTTAGACTGAGATTTCCATCAGTAATGGGGGACATCTAAAAACTGACGTGTACCGTAAACCTACACATACGGATCAGTATCTAAGGTTTGACTCTCATCATCCACTGGAGCACAAACTGGGCGTCATCAGGATGCTACAACACAGAGCGAACACCATCCCCACTGACACAGCAGCCAGGGAGGCAGAAGAACATCAAGAAGGCCCTGAGTAGATGTGGTTATCCCAGCTGGACTTTTGTCAAAGCTGGGAAGACTCCTAAAGAAAGCTCCAGCCAATCCAGGAGAGGAGGACAACCGCTGCCCAAGCAAAAACCTGTAGTGTCAGGAGTATCGGAACAGCTGAGACGCATTTTTTCTCAACACCAGGTCTCTGTGGCTTTTAAACCCCAAAACACGCTGCGCCAAAAGTTGTCCACCCCAAGGATCGGGTCCCCGACATAAACAGAGTAACATAGTGTACGCTGTTAAGTGCAGGAGGATTGGCAGGATTTATACTGCTGTTTTCCCCCCAAAATGACCTCTGACAAGAAACCAACTTCTGCTATCCAATACCCAAAAAATCTTAACTTCCACAAATTGCAAAATACTGTTCTTTGTCTCTAATGAAACCTCTGTAACTTAGTGAAAAACAGACGTTTCTGTTTTTTTTATGACTACAGTTAAAAAAAAACCCACCAACAACACCAAAAAACAGGACAGTCTGGCTAATGAGCTTCGTGTCATGGTGGAGTTTATTTTTGGACTTCTGACTCTGTATTATTCACACGGTCTTTGAGTTTACTCAGAGTCCCCAGTTATCTCCCTGTGTTTCATTTCATGTCTTCCCTGTCGGTCATGTCCATCCATGTATGTTCTCACTACCCCGTCTTGTCTCTCTCTCCGTGTCCCTCGTTCCGAGTCTTACTCATGTCTCTGTGTCTCCCTTAACTGTCCCCATGTTCTTCTCCTAGTGTTTCATTCTTCTGCCTCCTCAATCCGTCTCGTCCTCATGTCAGCTTCTGTCCTCCGGTCTCTGGGCCTACCGTGTGTCTTAGTCTGCATCTTAGTTGTTTCCTGTTTTATTTTGACAGTGTCTAATCCCGAGTTCACTGTTTTTAGTTTTGCTTCCCCTTCATCGTTATGTCAGTTTGTCCCAGCTGTGTCCCCATACATGGTGTCTGTTTTCCATCTTTCCCTCGTCAGGTTGTCTGCGTTCCTTGCCTTCATGTTCCAGGTTTAGACATTTATGTCTTACATTTTTAAGTCCAAAGAGCCGTGCTGATAGATTTCCTTCTTTGTCACAGCAGCTTTTTCTTTAGCATGCAGAAAAGTTAAACATGTATGGGATCAGAACGATGCCACCTTGAAATGAAACCGTAAAAAAATATTGAAACCGAAAAAAAAAAATTGTAAGCAAAAACAAAAATTACAGTTTCAATTAATTGTTTTTCACTATGGGGTGGCTGTAGCTCAGGTGGCAGAGCAGGTCAGCCACTCATCAGAAGGTCGGTGGTTCGATCCCAGGCTGCCTCCAGGCTGCATGCCAAATATCCTTGGGCAAGATACTAACCCCATGTTTGCCTACTGGTGGTGGTCAGAGGGCCCGGTGGCGCCAGTGTCCGGCAGCCTCGCCTCTGTCAGTGCGCCCCAGGGCAGCTGTGGCTACAATGTAGCTGCCATCACCAGTGTGTGAATGACTGAATGTAGTGTAAAGCGCTTTGGGGTCCTTAAGGACTAGAAAAGCGCTATACAAATGCAGGCCATTTACTATCATTTTTTTTTTCAGTACATTTATTTCGGTTTCAATATTTTTTTCGGTTTCATTTCAAGGTGGCATCGTTCTGATCCCATAAACATGTGACTTCTTCACACTGACAGAAAGGAGTGTTTCACTGGTCTGGCTGTAAGATCAAAGTGGCTTGCCATGTAAAATAGGTTTGACACCACTGTTTTACTGGATACATGACGTGATGCTGCAAGGAATAAGTCACCCTCTTATTCCTTGCTGTGAAAGGTCTTTAAAAACCAATTAAATACTGATTTTGTGTACCGTATTTTCACGACCATAAGACGCACTGTACTAAAAGGCGCAGTCTCAGTTATGTGTGCCATTACTGTATTTAACACACACATAAGGCGCACTGGATCATAGGGCGCATACAAGTACCGTATGCGTATTTAAAAATAAAGCGGGAGCAAACCTGAGTTCGGTACCTTACTCACATTTCTATTACCGTAATCGTCATCATCAACAACACACAAGCATACAAGTGTGCGTATTTAAAAATAAAGCAGGAGCAAAACAAAGTTTGGTACTCACATTTTTATCATCAATCAAACCCATGGAAGTCCTCATCCTCTGTGTCTGAATTGAACAGCTGCGCTAAATCTCCATCAAACATGCCAGGTTCACTTTCTTCACTGTCAGAGTCACTTTCCGTGCCGTGCGGCTCCTCGGAAACGATGCCGGCTTTTGCGAAAGCTCGAACAACAGTGCCAGCAGACATGTTAGCCCAAGCATCTACAATCCATTGGCAAATTGTGGCGTAACTCGCCCGGCGCTGCCTTCCACTCTTGGTGAAACTGTGGTCTCCATCGGTCATCCATCGCTCCCACGCTCGCAGCCTTACTTTGAACGGGCGGTTCACACCGATGTCCAGCGGTTGGAGTTCCTTTGTCAGGCCTCCCGGAATGACAGCAAGCTCACAGTTCATTTGTTTCACTAGTTTTTTCACATCGGCTGTGAGATGGGCACGCATAGAGTCACAGATCAACAGCGATGGTGATGCGTGGAAAAAACCACCTGGTCTCCTTACATACACCTCCCTCAGCCAGTCTTTCATCATTTCCTCATCCATCCAGCCCTTTTCATTTGCCTTAATGATGATTCCTGCTGGAAACTTCTCTTTAGGCAAAGTCTTTCGCTTAAAAATCACCATAGGCGGCAGTTTCTGTCCATTAGCATGGCAGCCAAGCACAACAGTAAAAGAAGACTTTTCATACCCCGTTGTGCGTATCGCTACCGTGCTGGTCCCCTTCTTCTCCACAGTGTGACTCACCGGGATGTCAAAAGTGAGCGGGACCTCGTCCATGTTTGTGATGTGGCTGGGCTGGATGTTTTTGTCGCCGATGTGTTTGCTGCAGTAGGAGCGGAAGATGGCCAGCTTTTCCTTATAATCCGCTGGAAGTTGCTGCGCTACCGTAGTCCTGGTCCGGATGGAAAAATGGCACCGTTTCATAAAACGAAAGCACCAAGACGGACCTCCTTGGAAATGTTCAATGTTCATCTCTTCAGCTAGTGAAACTGCTTTTAGCCGAATGGTGACCGTCGAAACGCTTCTCCCGCTCGTTCTTTGCTCGATGATCCACCGCTCGAGTCTTTCCTCCAACTCGGGCCACCTCGCCTTATGTCCGCGGAAACTCAGCTGCGTTTTCTTGACCTGCCGGAGCTTGTTTTCTAGCTTCCTCCATTTGCGAACCATCGATTCGTTAATCTTAAATTCTCTCGCCGCTGCTCGATTTCCATGTTCCTCCGCATAGCTGATGGCCTTCAGTTTAAACTGTGCTTCATAAGCGTGTCTCTTTGCCATTTTCAGGG